TCCCCCTTTGATGTTAAATGCTAGCATGATCAAACAACTTGTTGATAAGCAAATTCAACAGGAAAAATTTGGTATTTCTAATACATCGTTGTGACAAATGCCAATTGAAAAGTCATACATGCCTATGCAGTTTGCAGATATCTATCTTCCTGAGAAAATTAAAAGGTTTACACTGGAAAATATTAGTCTCACATATGTCTTCAGTGACAATATAGTCATGTATTAGTGAATTTTTCCCATTGCTGATGTTTTTAATATATGTTTCTGTTATTTTTTCATTTTCATTTGGAACTTGTTTCTTCCAGATTTTATTGGTCTTTGTTAATTCTTTTTTATCTATAGGTTGCTGAAGATTTATAATACAGCTTGATGTTTGTTATTCTTATTAATAACTCATCCAATATTGATGATTATTGTGCTGCTGTTCATCATGATGGAATGTAAACTGTAGGAATCAAAACAAGTTTTATTTTTTTATTTTTTTCTAAGTTAACGTTTAAAATCTAAATTGATTTACATTTGCAGACAAGCTCTACTGCTACGATGATCTTAAGGAGCTCTACTAGATCTAGAATGAATAATCTAAATTCCTAGAATTTACATTGACTTTATGTTTAGATAAATTTTCTTCAAAATTCTGAACTTGGAGTCTGCTGTACCTTTTTGGGAATATTTTTTCTAGAAATCTTATATGTCAAGAATAATAAGATTCTTTATTTAGCAGGTAAGAAGTTATACAAAAATATGCTTAATGGTTTCATTTAGGTCTTCCTGTCCACAGAGATCGGTTACCACTCATGACGCACCCTGTAATGAACCATGAAATCTTATATGTTCATATTACTCTATCTGCTTAGCTCCATTGGGTAGCTTTATCTTGCGGTCCGCCAGAATGGTTTCAACTCGCTTCTCGTAGGAGGCTGTGGTGGGGGGTAGCTGAGTTGGAACACTTCGGGAAGCATCTTGCGGATCCGAGTGGTAGGCTTTTAGGTTGCTGGCGTGAAGAACATTGTGAATGTTGAACCACGCGGGCAGCTGTAACTTGTAGGAGACGTTGCCTACCCTACTGATAATTGGGAAGGGCCCTTCATACTTGCGTACCAATCCTTTGTGGATCTTGTTCCTAAAGAATATGAGTGATGCTGGTTAGAGCTTTACCAATACCAAATTGCCGACCTTGAACTCTTGCGGTCGCCTTCCCAAGTCTGCCAACTTCTTCATCCTTTTTGCCGCCTTCTCCAAGTAAGCCCGCGCGATATCTGCATTTCGGTGCCACTCCTTTGCGAAGTGGTAGGCTGACGGACTACTCCCAGTATACTCGATTGTCATGGTGTGAGGAGTTGACGGTTATTGTCCTGTAATGATCTCGAAGGGGCTTTTGTTGGACGCAGAGCGCCGCTGCAAGTTGTAAGAGAATTGGGCAATGTCCAACAGCTTCACCCAATCTCGTTGGTTGGCACTCACGTAGTGTCGAAGATATTGCTCCAAGAGCGAGTTTATCCTCTCGGTTTGGCTATCCGTTTAGGGGTGGAGGCTTGTGGAGAAGTATAACTTGGATCCCAATAGTTTGAATAGCTCGGTCCAGAATCGTCCCAGGAATCAAGCATCTCGATCACTGATGATATTGTGCGGGACTCCCCAATACTTCACCACATCCTTCATCATCAGCTTGGTCGCCTCCTCTGCTGAACAGTGTAGGGGAGCAGCAATGAAAGTTGCATACTTTAAAAATCGATCGACTACCACGAGTATCGATCCGAGTCTCCCTACTAGTGGTAAGCTTGATATGAAGTCTAAGGAAATACTCTCCCACGGCCTTTCGGGTATGGGCAACGACTCCAAAAGTCCCACCGGTTTTCGCTGCTCTGCCTTGTCTTGATGGCAAGTGAGGCACGTTCAAACATATTCCTCCACATCAGTCCCCATCTTCGGCCAGTAGAAGGCCCTCTCCACGAGAGCCAACGTTCAGTGAATACCTGGGTGTCCAGCCCAAAGGGAATCGTGACTCTCTTAAGAGTTCACACCTCAAATTGTCCACTCGAGGAACATAAACCATATTCACTTTTGTGTAAATGAGTCCCTCCTGGACCCAAAATCGTCGTGCCTTGCCTTCTTTGATGAGCTGCGTCAGGGTAATTGCCTGGGGATCACTATACAGTCCATCCCTGATCCTGGAAAGGAAGTTGGAGTGCAATTGACTTGCTTGACTTCTGACCTCCAATTGTACGACATTCACGCGCTCCACTTTTTGACTCAATGCATCGGTCACGACATTTGCCTTTCCAGGCTTGTACTCCATTGCCATATTAAATTCAGCCAGTAAGTCCTACCATCGTGCTTGCTTAGGGGAAAGTTTCTTCTGCGTTTGGAAATAGCTCAGAGCGATATTGTCTGTCCTCGGCACAAATCGCGATCCGAGAAGGTAGTGTCGCCAGACTCATAGACAGTGGATCACCACTGTCATCTCCTTCTCGTGCAATGGATACCGCCGCTCGGTCTCATTGAGCTTGCAGCTCTCGTAGGCCACCGGATGACGCTCCTACATGAGTACTTCCCCAATAGCGAAGTCTGAAGCCTCTGTATGGACTTCAAAGGGCTCCCATAGTCCGGCAATTTGAGCACCGGTTCTTCCAGAACAGTAGCCTTCAGATCTTGGGTGGATGGAAGCTGTTAAAGCATTGAGTGCCTATTTTTGTGGGCACTCCCTCACTATGTGCGGCCCTCCGCACAAGAAGCATCCTCCAGGTTTCGAGGCCTTGCCTTTCGGGCTTGGCCCTTTGTGGGAACTCTTCTTTCTTTGTTCGCCCCCGAGCTCCTTCCCTCGAGAATGTTTTGTGTTGCCTAAGTCATGAGGCATGAGGCACCCTTGCGGCAAAGACGCGAACTTAGCTTGTGTTGCCTAAGTCGCGAGGCACCCTTGCGGCAAAGACGAGAACTTAGCTTGCATTGCCTAAGTCGCGCTTCGCCCTTGCGATTTGCGTCCGCAAAGATCAGCCCACTTGCAACCTCTCGCAGGTCCCGAAGGACCTCTAAAAAGAGAAAGTTGATTAGTTTAAAGAACGAGCGACGGACAAGTCCCGACGTTTCGCGAAAAGGGGAAGCTTTACAAGCAATTCAGCGAGCACCTTGCGTGCACAAGAGAAAAGAGGGAGAGGGGTTAAACAAGGACTTTAGAAGGTTGAACGAACAGCTGCAAGTCCACAAATAGCTGCTCACCGGGTGCCGGGTGCGACAATAAGTTCCTGTCAAGGTAACGTGCGAACTTGCGAAAGATTGTTCAACGTCCGACACTATACCGAAGCCCCATCCAGCCTTGTGCCACCCGGGTGGTTCCAAGGGGCTGAGATGGCTGACGTTTTGTGAGCGGAAGCGGACTGCAGAAAACAGCCCGTGGCACACGAAAACGGAGCTGTTTTAGGGTTGTTTTACTCGGTTCGGTGAGCGGTCGCTTTGTAGCATTGCAACTTGTTCGAACTTACATTTTTATAAGCAAAATGACTCAAAACCAAGACAAAACATGCTGCCAAGCAGCTGTACATGTAGATGAGAGCGACGAACGGTTCGTTGAACGGAGTTGTTGCGGGTGCGCAACGATCGTTCGTGACATCGGGGCGATGTCGTCTGCTCTCGGGGCAGTGTCGTCTGATGCCACTCAAGCACCCCCAAAGACGTCATCTCGTCAGAGAAGTTGTCCCCGCCCCCACGAAAGTCAGCGGCCACGCCGAACTGAGGCGCAACCAACCCTCGCATGCAGGTATAAATACCCCCGTTCGATGCTCGGCCGGGGGGAAGAAAGAAGGGAACAAATAGAAGAGGGCAAACTGAACTGACTTGCTCGTCGGAGGGGCCAAAGTCGGGAAGCACTCGACGAAGGCCGTTTTGCAGGGAGGTGGTCACCCCCGAGTGGCGGGCGTCTTCACCCCGAGGTCATCATCCGGTGCGTAGAAGAGGGTGGTCCGTCGGTTCGGATCCCAACCAACACCAGCCTATGCCTCCCCTCCCAAGGGCGCGCCCACGTCACGAAGAAAGGTTGCCAACCACCTCGGGGACGAAAGGACACATCCCGCCACAAGCGACACTCAAGTCAGCAGGCCTCGGAGCGCCAACCCCTAGCCACTCACGAAGGACTCAGTCGATCCTGTCGGTCCAACCCTCGCCCGAGACGCTCAAGAGGCGCAGCCACCTCATCATCCTACTCACTCCACCAGAAGTTCCCAACATCGACCCGCGGACCTAACCGTGCTGACTCACCAGCCATGGTACTTTTCTTCACTAACACCACTCATGACGCACCCTGTAATGAACCATGAAATTCCAATGTGGATTTGGAACAACTTGGCCATGCAAACTTAGTGTCGGTGCAGCGAAACCTTGTCCTTCATTGATAGCTTCTCTTCTTATAGAGTTTAACCAAGAAACTTCAGAAGATAAAATTATATAATGTTGTGTCTGTTTTTATTGCAGGAATCATGGATGCTATTTTTGTGATCCTTCACCTGGACAGGGAGTTGGAAATCAATGGCCCATAGTAGCGTTTTGCTAGTGACAACAATCTTAATTAATATGATACAACACATGTATCAGATGCTCCATTTAGGAATGGAATCAAAATCACTATATGTTAAAATCCACCCAAAAAAAAGTCAACTGCATTGCTCTCTATTTCTTTCCCATCTACTGTTTGTATGTGGATGCTTGGAATCTTTGTTCCACACTTAAGTTTTGCCTTTGTCATCCGTCATTACTGTAAACATAAAGGAGACTATATTAAGCTTTCAGTCCAGCTCTAAAAGTACTTGGATCAGGTCTGTACTCAACTTTTCTAAAGCTGCTAATCATGGAATTTCTTTTTTCGATCAGCTAGATAATAGTTCAAATCAGATTTGTTCTCACGTTCAATTTTTTGTTGACAGTCTTTTCTCAAAGTTGATCCTTTCTGCAGAATTCATTGGAAAGAAATAAAAGGGAAAAGAAGAAACCACACTGAGGCATCCTGCGTATAGTTTGCGCCAACCCCATTCAAGTATGCAGTTCTATGTTCAGCAAAATAGCTAGACATGCCCAAGAAATGTGTGAGGATGAGGAAACAAGAATAATGGAGAAATCCGTATCTGCACCGGTTTCTGGACACTATGTAACTCAAACATCAGTCCTCCAACGAGAAGGATTTTGTTGAAGGAAGAGGAAGGGGAAGACATCTTACCAAGTCCTTAGCAAACTGTAGAGCTTCTCTCTGGCAAATCCTTCCCATGCTGCAGTGTTATCAGGCGGCAAGATTGCTCTTTTATCAGCCTATCGATGGAAGGTGTTTCCCCTGGGATGATCCCAAAATCGTCGGTGTACTTCTCCATTCCTCCCACCAAGAAGTGCCAGATGAAGGTGCCTGCTCCAGCTCCATTCCTCAGCGCAGACTCGTAGATGGTGTCGTAGATGGATTTGTAGAATGTCGCTCGATGTGAGTGGTCAAAGTTCTTGTTCTTGTCGGAGAGGCCGAACTCTGTGAACAAGACTGGCTTGTTGAGCTCTTTCTCGCCATCTTCAATGTGAGATGTCACCCATTTGGAAACGTAGTCTGTTTTCTCAGTCAAATTTGCGTCCATCAACCTACAGAAGTGTATACTCTGTGATCAACATTTACACATGAATCATTGAATTTGAAGCAGTAGTATACCAGTTATCAGGGTTGATATGAGCAGATGCGAAATCGATGTCGGGAGTTTTCGAGTTGCGCAGGAAATCTGATCCCAGCTCACCATACGACTTTCCGGGGTTGACTTTTGTCTTCTCCGGAGGACTTGGTGCTCCGTAGAATCCCTCGAGTCCAACAGTTAACAGGTGTTTCTTGTCGATTCTTTTCACGTACTCCGCCATTTCCTCAATCCATTCCTGCATTTCTTTGAAACCAGAGGATGAACTCGAATCTAGACATCTAGCCATTTGCAGAAACAGAATCCATATTGGATTTTCACAGAATCCATATTGGATTTTCACCGGCTTGGTTGACTTTCATGCTGGTTATCGTGAAATCGTCTACAGTTGAGAGATTCACCTACTAATTACCATGCACTTCTACTTCGCTAATCTCATTTTTTACTAGATTTTTGGCATAAATTGGGTTCTGGTTCTTGTTATTAGAATGAGATAAGCGGATACCTGGAGAGTGTCACCTGATGCATCCGACGTACATTGCGGCTCGTTCATCAACTCCCAAGCGAAGATCGTTGGATCATCTCGATACTCGGTTCCAGTCAAGTGGTTCTTCCTCGTCAATATCGTCTGTCAAGAAGGCAAATCGGATCATGGATGTCAAACACTGTCTTGGCGATGCCATAATCGTAATCTACGTGTTGGTAAAGCTGAAACCAGACCAAGATAAGGAAGACAGAAAGTTGGAAGTGCCCAACGAAGGGGAAGAGATCCCTCTTCTACCTTCAGATAAATCTTGAAGTAACTACGAATGGAAGGATCGAAGAAGAAGGAGTCATTTGTGGAACTCGAACCGAATCCTTCTTCCCGTGCCCACTTAACATACTGTGTCTTCCCACCATAGAGCTGCAGATTATTCACCAAGCTAAGAAGTAACCTGATCCCATGCTTTTGTGCTTCCACAATGACCCAATCCAATGCCTGCAAACACAAGCAACCGTGTCGACGTCTTCTCCTCATCAAACTATTAAATTAGTTGAAGAATGGCTACACAAGAATCCGTAGAGACCGTACGCTCTGTCGAATCGAACGAGGAAAGAAAAAGAAATGGAATCGTCGATCGATGTTTCGTACCTCGAAGACCCGTTCATCGAAGATGCCGAGGGAAACCTGCAGGGCATGGTCGGCACCGTCATTGAAGGCCCAAGTTCTGCAGACGGTGAGCCCCATTCTTGCCCCTGTTTGAAAGATCTCGGTGACCCTCGATCTGCTGGACGCCTCCGCAGCTTGATCCATCAGCCAGTAGGAGTTCCACCCATTCACGTAGAACACTCTCCCATCCACCATGAAATGGGTGCCATTCCTCTTGACGAAGCTCGATCTAGGTTCTTGGGTGCGCAACTTAACGGCCCCAAATGCCATGTACATGAATACCATACAGCAGACAAAACCAAGAGCCGGACAGAGCTTCCCATTCCTTGGTTTCGTTCTCTTGCTGGATCCAGGAGGAGGCTTACTCCAGCTGCCCTTCCTGCCCCACACGAAGTTCATGTGATCCCTCAAGCGGGCAATTCGAAGCACCCAGATAAGATATTTATCTGCCCAAGAAGAACCGATACCATGACACCAAGCCTACCCCCCTGAGATGCTCTCGATCAACGTTCACCCGAACACATATCTCAAGGATCACCACCGGGATGCATAACGAAGAAATCAAAAGAAAACCTGAAGTAAACGGGCAGCGGTGATAGAGGAAGCTCTAATTTAGAGGGGCCTGAAGGTCGGCCAACAAAAAGCGGTCATTAACAAGGAAGGGGCGAGACAGAAAGGAAGGCAGGAGGAGGAGGAGGAGAAGAAGATGGAGTAGGAGGCCTGCTGGTTTCAACTCGGTATGCTGGAAAACCGATGAGGTTAAATTTCCTATGGTCAGGTGAATGGCCAAATAAGAACATGCTTTTGGACTATGTCCTTCGAGGAGATGTTGACAACATGGCCTTGCCCGACTCGTTCCGTACCTCTCATGCCGTATCAAAGGCGAGCAAAACAAAGCTCTGATTAGTGTACGCCGTGCATTACCTATCCGGTAAGTTTTCCAAGGAGTAAAATAAGGGAACAACAGTAGCCAAGATTCATGGTGTCTCGGGAGAGACGACAATAGTTCGCATAGTTATTTTCTCTCTTTGATTCAGATGAGGAGAACATGCAAATGCTGCACCAAAAGAAACTTGTAGGCCAATATGCCAGCTAATGCTGGACGGATGAAATCCCATTTCCCTTTCACCACAGAGAGAGAGAGAGAATGGGGAGCAAGCACTTTGAATCTCTTTTTTGGGTAAGTGAATCATCAACCCGCTGACACACAACTTTACTGAATCAAATTTATGGCCTCAAAAGTCATAGCAGCTTGTGAGTGATCGAAGGGGAGGAAGAAAGATCATTTCCTTGGTGCCGATGCTGCAAATATCACAAGGAAATCTAGACCGGATCAACTGAAGCTGGGAGCACACGATAAACAAATCACGGTTGAACTTTTCTATGCCGTCTGCTTGTACGTCTCTGCAAGCGATGGATTATATTAGTCTCGACGCTTGTTCTAACTTCCACAAAGACAGACAACTTGTGGTGAAGAGTCGGGAGGCAGGATTGTCCTGTCCCATCTTCTATGGAATCGGTGGTCGTCTCACCGAATGGCTTATGATTTGGTCATCCGGCTGGGTGTCTCTTTCTCGTTTTTAAATGACTAACAGCCATGGCGTCGTCAGCTGTAATCGAAGTCTTTCTTCTGTGTTTTCCTGACGAAGGCCGCTAACAATTTCTCGTCCTCGAATGGGATAAAAACAACTGCGAGGTTGACCGCCGTTTCAGATCCCGACAGAAAAATATACGACATCATGCATACCCACATACATGCCGCTGGTTGGCCTGCCCCGGTCGGCTACTATCACGGAGGAGAGACGGCCGCTGCAGCTATTCAAATACGTTTGTGACTCACGAGGAATGCCGGTTTGGTCAACGCGGTCGAATCAGACCGCCTCGGTGTCCTCTGATCCGATCAGCGTTTGTCACGTAGCAAACAGGTAAATCTAGTCGAAGATGACGCGATTACCGGTTGATTCGAGAAGTCGCGGGTCAAGAGACGTGCCGCACGTGTTCGGCGCCTCTCCTCCACGAGGACATCTGGTGGACCCAAAGCGGGGCCCGTCCCCATGAAAAGAGCGGCCATGTTGTGGTGCACGCGGCGGGCGCAAAAGATGAGCCTTTTTCTTTTAGGCTCATAATGACGGGATTAAATCGACTTCCCCGTTAATGCTACGGTCATAAAGCTAATCTCTTTCGTCGTAGATAATTAGATCAAAAATGCAGATTCCAGTGACGCAATCACCCTTTCGTCATCCGCCTCCACTGTCGTGACTAAAATACCGCTGTGGTCGTCGAATGGGTTCGATCCGAAAGTTGCTGGTCGGTGAGTGCAGTCGATCTGCTCTCAAGCTCGAGGGCAGCAAGATGACTTCCCCTTCCCGTCCGCAGATGCTCCATCTTGCCGGGTCCAACGTCGAGGCCTACTAAGATGGGTGTTTCCTGTGTGTGCGAAACAGCGCATCACGGATTCGTGGCTTCGAACTGCGCGAGTCCATGTGTACTGTCAAAGTCAACCCGAGTCATTCCTCTCCAACTCCGAGTCAAAGCGCGTGGTCGTCTTATTTCATACTCGCTTTACCATGTTCTGAGCGGCCACCCGGTTCTATATAGAGCAAGGCAACGAATGCAAAACCAGCTCCCAGCAGACATTGAGAGCTCGAGTTCCATACCCCAACGAGAAACCGTCATGGAGACGTCCCACGGCTTGACGAGGCCAGACCGGAAGACCATCGAAAAGAACAGGAGGATCCACATGAAAGCTCTCTACTCCAAGCTCCTCTCCCTCCTCCCTACACCCAGCTCACAGGTCTCTTAGCTAGCTACGTAAAAGAAGGCCGTCGGTATCGGAAAGCTGTGTGCTAATAATTTCCACTCTTTTCCCTCGATCTCTGATTGATTTGGCAGCAGGAGGGGGGCGCGGTAACGCTGGCGGACCGGCTGAACGAAGCGATCAACTACATAAAAGGGAAGCAGGAGATGCTCGAAAGGATGCAAAAGAGGAAGAGGCAACTGACGGGGAGCGCAGGCACCGCGAGTGAAGTGGCTACTGCTTCGAGATCTCCCAAGATAGATGTCCAGGACTTGCGTCCTGGGTTAAGGGTGATCGCAGTAATTAGCCCGTGTGATCATCATCTCATCTTCTGCGAGATTGTTCGAGTTCTGGGAGCGGAAGGGGTCGATATCATCACGGCCAGCTATGCTGTCGTCGGCGACAGAGCTTTCCACACCATCCAGTTCTTGGTGATCACTTGCTTAAACATACGGAAATAGCTCTTCTGCTTTTCATGGTTGGGTCAATTTCATGCGTACAAATCACTGATATCTTGAAGCTTATTTCTCTTTACGTGTAGGCACCCAAGAGTGGAACCGGAGAGGCTGACCAGGTGATGGGGAGATTGAAGAAGGCTATCCATGCTTAGCTAGCTTAACCAACTGTGCTCTTAAAATTTTAAGAGACAGAAAGGATAGAAGGGTGGCGGATTCTATCTATATACTAAATTATATATGCTGAAAGATTTTGTTTCTCTCTGCATTGAGTCTCCTTTTCTGCAAGAGTAAAGTGTTATGAGATGCTGAATGCTAGAAACGGGAATCTACAACATAAAGGTTGCTTTTCTAAACGTCATAATAACTTACCTGCAGAGTAGCTTGGTTTGAGCTGACTTTGTTACCGTGTACAACTTTATACCTTACAAGATACAGAGAACTATAAACATTCATTTGCGAACATCAGAAAATGCTGACCTCTTTGGGGTTGGAGAAGGCCAAGGCAATACCCCACATATATATGTATACACACACACACAAAATTTCCCCAGTTATCTCAAGGTGATTGTTCGGTGGAAGAAGAAGGTAAGAGTTAGACCTGCAACGTGGTCGATGAAGCTTGAAGCTTGTGATTTGAGCTGTTGTCTGCTTGTGATCAGAACTGATGACAACAAAGCATGCGTTGAACATCGAGTCATCAAAGTCTGCCATGAATCGTATGAATGATTCACACTTGTAAACTGCGCTCGACCATTTTCACGTTGAGCTCGCAGCATTCGAGGAAACTTTCACCTCTCTTTCGTCAACCCCCACCGCCAGGAGCATCACGATCCTTATTTCACCTGCAAAAACCCCAAGTCTGATCCTGACATCACTGTTTTCGTCTCCGTCGACGGCCTCCATCGATGCATGGCCGACCTTAAGAAATAGTTCCAATACATCGACACGTACTGAGACATCATTCCCACTTTTACTTTACATATGGTTTTTGTTCTCTGTACTAACACAAACTTGTCGTATAGACCTTTGTCGACAGAAAGTTCTCATGAGTTATCTGCTGGAGTGAAGCAAACTAATTCTAGAGAATTCACTTTGCCGATGAGATGCGACGAAGGTTGTGTGTCAGTACAGAGCATTTGTGTTTGACATTCCAGGCTCTGGTGGTCATTATGTGTTGCTTTCGGGACGAAGACGGTTTGATTCCATTGATTGTTAATCCTGAATGCAACTTTACAACTGTCAAGCAATGTTGAAGCAAATGGTCTTCGAGTGTTGGCGTAGAATTAATTATGTCCTTAAACCTCTCTTCTATGGTGAACCAGAGATTCAACTGCTTTTACTTACGAATGCTGTTCTTGTCGAGCAACAAAAGTGGAATGATAGGGTTCTTTAAAAGTAAAACAGTGGAGTAAAAGCACCAACCATTGTTTCATGACTCCTCCTCTGGAAGGTCTCCCACATCTGCTGATCGAAGTAGGTCTTCATCCGTGTGTCATGGGGTACATCTCTCTGCTTTACTTTGGTAGGCCGAAGAATGATTAATTCAAATGACCTCCATCTTCCCTAATCGGAAAAACCAAATTTTGACTCGTCCCTGTCGCATGGGACCAGAAACCTTAACGCTGTCCACGAGAGTTTAAATGGATATTTTGGCTAGTTTTTTGTGATCTGACTCATGAATGTCGTAGTTGCCAGTGTGTGTTGTCTGCCATGGACAATCATGGGACTAGAAGCCACCGATCACAGATGGTAATCCAAAACGTCAAAATGAAATGGTTTATGACACTCATCGAACTTTTGCATGTCGTCCAAAACAGCAGCAGCAGCAGCACCATCAACAATCTCTAATGGGGAATTTGATTGATCGCACAAACCATCTACGGCATGGTGGGGAACCAGAATCTGATGCCGAAGCAATTTATTTCTTTAGGATCTGGAAGTGGACCTAATTATTCTTACTTGACTAAGCCAAAAACTTTAAACAGCTTTGATTTGAGGTCCATGCCACTTTGAGATTCTTGCTTGTGCTTACTTTTGTTTCCCTGTCAGTCGACGACGACAGCTATCTCTAAGGAGAGGACTCAGTCTTGGAATTGTTGATGTTGATAGGAAGAGGGGATAGAGATATCAAAAGGAAGAGTAGGACAAGCTTTCAATCTTCTATATTTCTCTCAAGAAAAACACTTTTATAATTTCAGAAACTCTATTTCACTCATGACTCAACATATGGGGTTTATATAGTCCCCAAAGATACATTATATTAATTGTATTCAAGATGAATCATTCTCTTTCAAGAAACCCTTTCAAAAACCAATAACCAATTTGACTTATCCTTCTATAGACTTCTAATCCATCTTTTCTTCTTGATGTAATGATTCTCCCACTTGATGCAATGAACCTTTTTATGACACTTGAATAAGTTTAATTCCAACATTCTCCCCTCTTAAACTTGTTCCATCTAGCATGCCAAGTTTTTCTTCGAAGTTGTTGAATATATACCTCTTCTTCAAGAACTCCATTAAGAAATACTGATTTGATATCCATTTGTAAAATCTTCCATTTCATTTGAGCTGTTAGAGAGATAAGTAAGCTTACTGTCTCCAATCGAGCAACTGGCGTAAATACTTCTTCATAATCAATTCCATATTGTTGTTTATATCCCTTTGCAACCAATCTGGCCTTGTATTTCTCCACCTCTCCTTTTGCATTTCTTTTTGTTTTGAAGATCCACCTAACACCGATAGCTTGGTGGTCTTCTGGAAGTGTAGTAAGCTCCCATGTATTATTTTTGTTAATTGCATGAATCTCTTCATTCATAGCTTGTCGCCATTTTTCATCTCTATAAGCTTCTTCGAAGGTTAATGGATCATATCCTGCAAAAAGACAAAATAAAGAAAGTTCATCATTGTTAGTATCAATCCTTCGAGTCACATCATATAGATCCTGAATAGGTCTTGTCCTTCTTATAATTGGACTTCTTGAATCATGTAACCTAGCTGATCTAGGTGATGATTTCGGCACAGCAACTTCGGTGCTTGCTTGTATTATATCATCTTCTTCTGAAACTACAGCTTTCTTATGCTGTTCATCACTTTTCCAGTTCCAAATCTGTTGTTCATCAAACTCAACATCTCTTGACATCACAACTTTATTTGTGATAGGATTGTAGAGTTTGTAACCACTGGAATTTTCTGGATAACCTAGCAAAATGCATTTTTGACTTTTATCCTCCAATTTTGTTCTCTTCTCTTCTGGTATCTTGGCAAATGCAACACTTCCAAAAATCCTTAAATGATCAACTCTTGGTTTCTGTAAGCTCCATGCTTCTTCTGGTGTAACATTACCAATTCGCTTTGTCGGAAACCTGTTAAGCAAATAAACTGCACAAGCAACAGCATCACCCCAAAATTCTTTCGGAATTTTTCTTTCCTTTAACATGCATCGAACCATATTAAGGATAGTCCTATTTTTTCTTTCCGAT